TATATATATATATATATATATATATATGCAAACGCAAATGAAATTTATGAGCTGTGGCAGTGGATGTTGTTGGTGAATAATGTCTTAATTTCCGTGTTTTCCTCATCCTCATTCTAGCTAAAGTTTGGCTTCAGAAAACTCAAAATATAGTGCTCAAGACTTTCACAAGGATCTTTGTCACTTTTGGAGCTTGCCTTTGCTTAGCAATGGACTGATATGTGAGTAAATGATGACAGAATTCAAATAACCTAATTAATATTCATGACCCAAGCCACACCTGACAGAGTTTGTGTGCTGAGCTACTGATGCTGACAGAAAGTCTAACTTTGTGAACGACCGAAGATGTTTTAGGCCTAATTATTGAACTTGTATGACAAAAAGACCAGGGTTATTGACGTTTTTGGAAAGTTTTTCAGCTTTCAAATGGTATCTGGTATCAAGTTTTGGATCATTCTTGTCATTTTGGCTTTGACTGATTAATTTGACAAAGAAGTGTAATTTACCTGGCATGAAAATCCGGCATGTTGAAGGGAGAGATGGAGCTGATTGAGAACAGGGGAAAAAATCAAAGAGGAGAATATGAAAAAAAGAAAAGCTTGTTTGGAATGAAGTACAGGGATGAGGCAATTGCCGAGTGCTCTGACGTCAATTATGTTCCCTCGGCACATTGCCAGGGGGCTGTTTTTTTACCACACTCAAGTGTGTGCGTGCGTGCGTGCGTGTGTGTGAGGGCGGGGCTAGAGCTGTCATTCCCACAGTGATGGGGTTAGACACACCTATCACAGCATGAACTTGAGCCAAGAGGACAGTTTATTTTGTTCCTGTTGTTCCAAGAATATTATTTAATGCAACTGTAGCTTTGACTCTGTATTTTTTGACACAAGATCTGTGTGTGTTGCAGATGTCTTAAGTCCTTTTCTCATGAAATCCTGTTTTGTTAGCCAACATTCACAACCTGTTTTACTTCCATTAAGTGAAGTAGTTCTAAGTAAAACAGGATATTTATTGTTTTAAAATTGTGTATTAATAAAGTAAATGGGGTCAGTTTTATTTTATGTTGGTTTTAAGGGTTAGCGTTTACTTTTGAAGTACTTAGCTACACTACAAGCTTCTAACAGGTTCATAGGTTGTTGTTTTTTTCAATTGAATCTAAAGTATTGCACAAAACATAATGTCAAAACCACCACATGATCATGTACTTTTTATTTTATATATAATGTTTTTTTATTTATTTAATGTATAAAATATATTATTTTATGTTTTTTATATAATAATAAATAACAATGTTTATTTTTATATAATAATATATTTTTTAAGTATTTTTGAATTTATTATTTATTTGATAAGTTTCGGTTGGTGTGATTTTGTAATGGTTTGAAGTCTCTTATGCTCACCAAGGCTGAATTTATTTGAACACGAATGCAGTAAAAACAGGCATTACAAATTAAAATAACTGGTTTCTATTTTAATATGTTTTAAAATTAAATTTATTCCTGTGATGCAAAGCTGAATTATTAATTAATAATATTAATAATTGGTAGTGTGTTTTTTTTTTTTTTTTTTTTTTTTTTTCTTTAAGGGCAGTATTCATTTCTTTCAACAAAAAGAAAGAAAGAATCTTATTGTTTAGTACACTTAATAATTGTAACAAGTTTTTCCTTTTTTAAGGTGTTTGTTCCAGGACTATTGAATAAAGATCCCAATCATATTTTCTAAAGAAGTTATTCATTTTGAATCAGTAGAAGTCTGATTCATCAGTTGAATTGACGGGGATTTTGACATGTGTTTCTCTCAGATGATTGCTAAGCCGAACGAGCCGGGCCGACAGCATGAGAGCCACCCGGAGGAGACGGAAGAGGAGCTGAGGGAGCACCAGGGCCTGGGCGACTCCACGGAGGCTCTTCCTCACGGGGTCACCATCAAACAGGAACCGCCGGATGAACAGGATGAAGAGTTCCAGCAGAGAGAGAGGCAAGCCGAGGAAGAGCTGCTCTTCAGACAGGTAAGGGTGTTAGAGCAGAAAACAGCTGCAGGAATACATGATACTACATCTGTCGCTGTTTTGTGAATGGCTCAAGATGAAGCCACAACCACATTGAGCACCAGAAGGGGGCAGCAACTGGCTCCTATAAGGAATCAGACACACTGTTGGTGAAAAAGGGGTTATTAACCCACAAGAAGGATCTGTCCCAACAAGATGCTAGATATTTCTAGCACTTACTCAGCTGGAGGCATGCATTCATTTTACTTAAAGCTGCCAAAAAACAATAATGGTGGTTTATGTAAAAAAATAAATAGACCAGTTATACTAGCTATCATGCTGGTTTCATTGGAATTGATTTAATTTAATCCAGAAGTATTGCACAAATAAATATTTCCAAAACAGCGGATCTTGCACTTTTGTGTTTTATTCTATATAGCAATAAATTGATTAATTAATCAATTTACATAATAACATTTTTATTTTAATTTACACTTCTGAAAAAATACACTACCATTCAGAAGTTTGGGGGCAGTAAGATTTTGTCATGTTTTTGAAAGAATGGATTTATTGGATCAAAAATGCATTAGAAAAAGTAATAGTGTGAAATATTGTTACAATTTAAAAGAATTGTTTTCTATTTGAATATATTTTAAAATGTAATTTATTCCTGTGAAGACAGAGCTAATAAATGCAGTCTTTTATTTGCGTGAAATGCCCAGTATAAGATTATTCATGCAATCCCTGAAAAATCAGTGTATTTGCTCACCATTCAGAACTGTTTAATGCAACCACAGGTCCTCAACGCTTAATCGCTGCTTTTTAAAAATGAACAGGAGGTGGGCACTTGTGCTGGACGAGATCATTTAGGTCCAGCTCTTTTTCTTCTTAATGGGCAGCAGGGGTTTGAAACCCTCTGCATGTTCCTGCAGTCAGACTGAAATATTCATCAGCTAACTAACACTGTGTCCAAAACTGAAGGTAGCTGCCAATTAACAGGCAGTGTTTATGAATGAAGGAATCTCCAAAGGCTTCAGACCAGCTTCCAAGGCACCATAACATCACTTCTAAAGATCAAGGATAAATCAAGTCCGCTTTAGACATAACCAAGTAAATATTTAATGGCTACAATGCTTGTTTCTTAGTGGAAATTCAAATTCATTTTGTTAATGAATATTTTCTTCAGCATAGATCAGCATGTTAGAATGATTTCTGAAGGATCACGTGACACTGAAGACTAGAGTAATGATGCTGAAAATTCAACTTTGCGTCACAGGAATAAATTACATTTTAAAATATATACCAATGGAAAACAGGTATTTTAACTTGTAATATTATTTAACAATATTACTGTTTTTGTTTTTTACTGTATTATAAATGCAGCCATGGTGAGAATAAGAGACTTCTTTCAAAAACATGAAATGTTAATGATGCCAAACTTTGTGTTCATTTTTTAAATGCATATTTAATTAATTAATTTACATTTTCCAAACCAGATGCAATTTTTAATCTTTCAAATAACCACCTCAACAATATGTGACCCTGGAGCACAAAAGCAGTCTTAAGTCGCTGGGGTATATTTGTAGCAATAGCCAAAAATACATTGTATGGGTCAAAATTATTGATTTTTCTTTTATGCCAAAAATCATTAGGATATTAAGTAAAGATCATGTTCCATGAAGATATTTTGTACATTTCCTACTGTAAATATATCAAAACTTAATTTTTGATTAGTAATATGCATTGCTAAGAACTTCATTTGGACAACTTTAAAGGCGATTTTCTCAATATTTTGATTTTCTTTTTTGCACCGTTTCCAGATTTTCAAATAGTTGTATCTCGGCCAAATATTGTCCTATCCTAACAAACCATACATCAATGGAAAGCTTATTTATTCAGCTTTCAGATTATGTATGATCTAAAAAATAATTGACCCTTATGACTGGTTTTGTGGTCCAGGGTCACATATGTGCTTTGGTGCCTTCAGACCTTCATAAACTGCTTTAGAAGGCTTATTTTCCAGGTTTTACACAGCCTAAATGTAGTCCTGAGTAGCTGAATGCAAAGCATCGTGGGATATGAAGTGTGGATCAGAGCACTCTTACCTTAATGAGCACAAGAAGTGAAGCATTTTCTACATATAACGCTTTCTGCTGTTTTGCAATGTATTGAGTACCACCTGCTGGTTATTTGTGTAACTACAGGGTGCCTAAAAACAATTGAGGTTCTTCTGTATGACTTCTGAAATGTCCTTATAAAGATATGTATCTGTTTGTTTGTTTGTTTTTTAAATTGACTTGCAAAGTTCATTTATTTCAAGCTAAACGTCTGTTCTTGTCTCTGAGCAGCAAGCTGTCCTGTTGGAGCAACAGAGGATCCATCAGCTGAGGAACTATCAGGCGTCCATGGAGGCGGCCGGACTGTCTGTGACTTTCCCAGGCCATCGGCCCCTGTCCAGAGCACAATCGTCACCGGCCTCTGCGACCTTTCCCATTGTGGTGCAGGAACCACCGGCCAAACCGCGCTTTACCACCGGTCAGTCACTGGATTAGATGTTCAATATTGTTCACCAACTAAACAACTAAGCATCTGGATATTACCTCAGAAATATTTAAATGAATTTATATTAATTTGTAGACCTCATTAAATAAGTATTTGTGTCCCTACAGGTCTGGTGTATGACTCCCTGATGCAGAAACACCAGTGCATGTGTGGAAACAGTAACATCCACCCCGAGCATGCCGGACGCATCCAGAGCATCTGGTCACGACTGCAGGAGACGGGGCTGCGCGGCCAGTGTGAGGTGACATGTTCACTCACGTCCCTCTGTTTATGACATACCAGCACTTTTAGCAGTGACACGATGTGATCTTTCAGCACCAAACATATTTAAGTGGTATTTATCTTCAGCCTGCTGGTTACTGTGGCAAGGGGAAGGATATTTTTAGGATCTGTAGAGGGCGCTGTTCAGCCATCACAAACACAGCCACACATTCCCCGTTAATGAAACTTTATGAATAAACCAAAGAGTTTTACTCAACAGAAAAGGGGGTGTGAGATTGTTTTGAGTGTGTTCGAGGAAAAATTTAACCAGGAGAGAAAAAGAGGCAAGAGCAGAGGAAGTGCTGGTGAATTACATCAGGAATCCGAAGTCTGAGACCACTAGGGAAAATGCTTATCTTTTCACATTTTCACAAGTTTTTCATTACAAATTGGGAAGAAAAAAAATTCATAATGTCTTAGTATTTGGTTTGTCCCACTTTTCCTCTAATGACAGTAGCAATTAAGCTACATGAACACCGCGGGTTTGTTCAAAACCTGTTGCTCATGTTCTTCAGCATAATCTGAAAATGATCCAAGGTGCATCTTGTGCTTCAATGGAAGCAGCAGCATCTGACTTTTGTACAGAAGAGTAACATGACCAATTTTAATAATATTAATTATCTAAAAAATAGTGTTAGTTTAGGGTCAGTAAGATTTTTTACATGTTTTGGGTTCTCTTATAAACTGCATTTATTTGATCAAAAATGTGAAATATTGTGAAATATTATTACAATTTAAAATAAGTGGTTCCAATTTTAATATATTTTAAAATGTCATTTATTCTTGTGCTGAATATTTTAGCATCATTACTCCAGTCTTCGGTGTCACATGATCTTTCAGAAATGCTGATTTGCTGCTCAAGAGTTCGAAAAAAAAAAAAAAAGTTGAAAACAGTTTTTTCAACAATTTTTGTGGAAACCAAAAAGAACAGCACGTATTGGAAAATGATTTTTTTTTGTAAACATAAATGTCTTTAGTATCTATTTAGTATGATCAATTTAATGCATCATTGCTGAATAAAAGTATTAGTTTCTTTAAAAAAAAAATACTGACCCCAGAATTTTGAACATTTTTTTGAATGTAATACTAAATGTTTAAAAATCCTTCAATTTAGTTTATTTACAAGTTTAAATGAAACAAATCTCAGATTTTTGTTTACAGACTACAACCTGCACGAAACTCCTCACAAAAGCACCACAGAATTCATATCTGTGTGTGCATTAATATATATGTGCTTTAAGCTATAATTAACATTATTTTATTCCATTTACCACATTTTACAATGCTTAAATCCGTTTCCCCCCAAAATCAGTGCAGAAAAGCAGTCTGTGCCTGCTTATCTCTGCCTCCACCTGCCGAGGGCAATTCCTGAGCTCTCTCATCATCTGGAGCTCTGATCGCTGGTGCCTAATGGCTCTCGCTGGATCTAATCTCTCCTGCCACGCTGGCTCCATTGCGTCAGGCCTGTTCGAGTAGGTCGCATAGCTGCAGTCTCTGTTTTCCTCCAAGTAAACAAGCATGACAATGGCACGGCTGCGCACCCGCTCTCTCGCCTACGTTCACTCCTTGATGGGGATGTTTATTGTTCTGGGAGATGGAAACAGGGAATTGGGCCTCAATTAAAGGCAGTCATGACTCTAATACCCCCTAATCTACAGCAGGGGGGCCCTTAAAGAGTGTAGGGTTGTTTTAAGCTGCCGCCAGCCAGCACAGGGCCCCCGCGGGCCCCTCTTTAACTGCCCTGCTGTTAAATCCGAGAGGTAGTACGTCCTGTTGCAGGTGTCACCTCGGCTTGGCTCGGCCCAGAGCGCTTCCACAGGTGGGCAGGTCCGCCTCCCTCTTGGATGGTTTGTGCCTCAGAGGCCAGAGCTATTAAAAAGGGAAAATGACATTATTGCAAATCCAGCAGCTCCGGCACCTCTGAGGGCCGACGGCTTTGTTCTACAGGCATGTGGGGCCCAGTTTGGAGTGGGAGGGGGACAGCGGGTCTGTTTCAGCTCTGCTTAGACAGCTAAAGACATCAGAGGGGGCAGGATGGCAGTATATTTAATATGGCTCGTTTAATATGGCTGTCGATTTTGCAATCAATGAAGTATGTCTTGCCAAAACATTCCAGTCAACAAACTAAAAACATGTGATATAAAAAATTAGACATGACCTAGACCAGGGGTGTCCAATCATTGTCCTGGAGAGCCAATGTCCTGCTGAGTTTAGCTCCAACCATCTCCAACACACTTGTCTGGAAGTTTCTAGAGTCTGAAGACCTTGATTAGCTGGTTCAGGTGTGTTTAATTAGGGTTGGAGCTAAATTCTGCAGGGCAGGATTTTTATTTATTTAGTAATTTTTTTATTTGTATTTTTTTTTACATACACTATTCATCAGATGTTCAGGAAGACTATTTTTGTACATGTATATGTGTACATTTGTAACCTATTTGAGACTCTGAAAACGTAAACTGTAGCTTAAACAGTACAACATGACTCTGGCAACGGCAAAGTCATGGGTTCCATTCCCAGGAAATGCATGAATTGCACTCTGTGAGGTTTGCACTAAAGCGAATGCACCATTTTTGTTTTTTCAATTAATACTTCTATTCAGCAAATTGCATATTTTTTTTTTAATAAATTGTAAAAAAAAAATAAAAAAAAAATCACAATATTTCTGTTTTTCTTGTATTTTTGATCAAATAAATGCAGCCTTGGTGGGCATGAGAGACTCATAAACATTTTTTTAAATCTTACCGGCATTAGTTCAAGGTTAAGAACATGGAATATACACAAAATATTTCTATCACCGTGTCCTAACTACACGCGATAAAAGGTATCTTTTCCATGTTAATCTGAGTTTTTGTCCTAACTAGCCTCGTTTAAATATAATTTTGTGTGACCTTATAGCCATACTGAAAGCAACAACAGTTTACCTCAGATCTTGAAAATAAATGATGAAGCAAAGATGTCCGTTAAAACTGTGAACTCACTGCGAACCAACGAGTGTATTCCATAACAAAGATGTTATGAGTCACTCAGTATGTACATTTAATGATGTTAAAAAGTTTTAATATTTATGAATTAGATTATAAACGTATCCATTTCGTTGCGAGTGCAGTGCGCTTCCAGAGAGAGCCCACCCACACACACTTCTGATTGGCTGTGATATTTGATTGATTCTGTCGCGTTGCGTCTGGTGTGGACACCCAAATTGCTTGTCTCTGGAATCTTGTCGCGTCGCATGTAGTTAGGACACGGTGTATTTCAGTGAACAATAATTGTACACAATATTTTAACAAAATGCCATTTAAAGTCTCAAAATTAAAAGTACATTTCAGCAGATTAATATGAGTCTGTTGCTACGGACTGAAACCCACAGACTCCCCTCTATCCATGTCAAATTGAATATTGCCTCTTTTCTTACTGAGGTTTTAACTCTTTCTTTTTTTCCCCCAGTGTATTCGAGGCAGGAAAGCCACTCTGGAGGAGCTCCAGACAGTCCACTCTGAGGCTCATGTGCTGCTTTACGGAACTAACCCTCTCAGACAGAAACTGGACAGTAAGAACAAACACAAACACACACCTGACTACACCATGGGCTGAATCTGAGTTATGTAAATGAGCGCATTGTTGTACAGTATTTCTCTCTCTCTGTGGCAGTTGAAGCCTCCGATGGTCTTCTCAGTTATTAGCCCATGAAGCTTCGCCTGGACTTCTGCAATTATCCACATTATTTACGCTTCTGCAGCCAGATCCGCCTTACAGCCTGTTTCCTAAACGCTGCAATTCGTTTCATTTCTTTTTTTGGCCAGTTGTTGTTCCCTCCCCATCCCAAACTCCCTGGCGTTCCCCTCTGTCAGCTCACTCTCTGCTTTCATCAGTCATGGCCTTGATCTGAGTTTGCCCCTGAGCTGTCCGTCAAGGCCGTCACCTCTCTGCCAATAACAACCACACATGCAGTTTTCCATGACTTCAGCTCCGGCCCCCTCATGCAGCGATCAAACACATGCATAAACGACATGCCCACTCACACACACACATGCACACGCACGGATAGTTCACACTCGTCGGGTACATGGACGATATGTTTCCACCTTTCCAATCTGATTGGGTCGGTTTATTCAACAGACTTTTTTGATCTTGCAACAATGTGTTGCTTCATAAGCACGATTGATTTGAAAAATAGGGCAATTTTAATCAATAGATGCTTTGCCTCATTGAGAAATGTTGGATTATTGCATGTGTGTTTGTGCACTAATATAGTAGGGATGGTCATTGTGGTCATTTTGTTGAGTATTCAGGGTTGGAGGTCCATCTGTGCTGATTTTTAATTGTTTGTCTATTTACATATGCGTCATATTGATGTCTTTTGTCAGTTTTTTTAGTGTACTGATGACATTTACTTGCACACCATATTTTAAAGGCACTATGTTTATGTGAAGTTATTTTAAGTTACGGCCACAGTAGCACAAAGGCATATAAGCATGCAAACAAGACTGTGTGCTTGAAATGCATTGAACAAGCATTCATATTTGGACGTGTACAATGGCAGTGCAATTATAGTATATCAATCGTTTTGTGCAGCAGAGGAATCCCCGATATAAAATTTGGTTTAAAGAATTTTGAATTTAATAAAATTCATTCTTGCTTCAAGTGAGTCCATAATTCAGTAACTGATGGGATCGATGGATTTAATGAGTTCATGTTGTGAAATATTTTGTTAGACTGATTCAAACCGATAATTGAGTTTGTGAGTCTTATTGACCGATGAAAAGAACTGGTTCATAAGAGTCATTGGATCATGAATCAGACTTTAATGGTTGCACTTTTTGGTTTACTAAAAATTTGTTGCTAAAATCATGTGTTTGTTAATCATACTACATTGATTTCATTATATGTTTTTGATGAATTTAAAAGAACCAGCTCATGAGAGTCATTAGTTTCATCAATTGACACTGCCTGGTTGCACTGTATTTTTTTTTGATTCACTAAAAAAAACTGGCTCATAACGAGTCATTGATTTGTGAATCATACTATATTGATTGCACTATATGTTTTTGATTCACTAAAAAAGAATCAGCCCATAAGACTTATTTGTTCTTGAATCAAATGGCACGGGTTGCACTATGTTTTTGATTTCACAAAAAAAAGAGCTGCCTCATAAGAGCAAATTGCTGCCTCATTTGTTTGTGAATCAAATTACATTTTGTACTACATGTTTTTGGTTTGCTAAAAAGAATTTGCTCATAAGAGTCATTAGTTTGTGAATCAAATGACACTAGTCGTACTATGTTTTTGATTCACTTAAAAGAGCCAACTCAGAAGAATCACTGGTTCGTGATTCAAATGACACAGGTTGCACTAAATGTTTTTGATTCACTTAATAGAGCCAGCACATAAGAGTCTAAAAAGAACTGGCTTGTAAGAGTCATTAGTTTATGAATCAAATGACAAGGGTTGCACTATGTTTTCGATTCACTCAAAAGAGCCAGCTCATAAGAGTCATTTGTTTATGAAATGGATTACACTTGTTTCACTGTATGTTTTGGATTCACTAAAAAGAACCAACTCATAAGAGTCATTAGTTTGTGAATCAAAAGACACCGTTTACATTGTATGTTTTTATTTACTAAAAAGAGCCAGCTCATAAGAATCATTGGTTCGTAAATCAGATGACATGAGTTGCACTATATGTTTTTAATTCACTTGAAAGAATTGGCTCATACGAGTCATTTGTTTGTGAATCAGATAACACGGGCTGCGCTATATGTTTTTAAAATTACTTAAAGCAGTCGCGCATAAATCTTAAATCAAATGACACTGGTTGCACTATATGTTTTTGATTGTGCAGTCAGTAAACGAAAAATAAAAAATACATATTGTCTTAACATCATTTTGCCAAATTGTTGCCTTATCAGACTGCAAAAAAATTTGTTCTTTCAGCATGGCGCTTCATATTCATGTCCTCCACTGAATAGTGGTGCAAAAACACTGCTAGCCTAAAGTATATTTCTGGCCTGACATGTAACAGATATGACTCATCTCTTGATATTCACATGCAGAATACAATTAGATCAGTGATGTTGCAGATCTCACACAATCTTTGTCTTTCTCTCAACAGGCTCGGTGACACCTATGTTCGTGCGACTGCCGTGCGGAGGAATCGGGGTGAGTTTCTCTTTCTTTCCCATGTGTAAATAACGGTTCTGTTTGTTCTCCCTCCCCCGAACTCCAGCGGCAACAAAAACTGTTGCTCTCCTCTCTGCTGAGCGGGTAATTGTGTCCAGATGTTTTCTATAAACAAGCTGTGTGCGGTGTGTGTGTGTGTGTGTGTGTGTATTCTCTGATGATGATGATGATGATGATGATGAATGAATGGATAGACTTGTTCTTCAGTGCTGAGTGGACAGTGTCAGCCACACTCTTCACGGCTCTGGAACAGGAAGTACTCATCCTCACTTCTCTCATTCTACTCATGCCCTCCTCTCCTGCTGTAGGTGAATGATTCAGACAGACCGTGAATGGTTTCCTGTAATGAATGGAGAGATGGTTCAGTCATTGATGTGGAAGCATACAGAGTAGCCTCGCTGTTGTGTTGTCATTGATATATCCATGCGTCAAAGGAAAGTTATTTCTTTTTCCAGGGCTTGGCCTGTTGCAACTATTGGACCTAATCTTGACTTTTTGGGATAATGTGATCATTCTTTTTACATTGCATTTTTGCATTTACGTTTATGCATTTGGCAGATGCCTTTATGCAAAGTGACTTACATTGAATATCTGTTTTGAACCAATGACCTTACCATACCATATTGTTTGAGCTACATGCAGGCTATATTAAAGTTTCCCATCAAAATAAGGAAATGTTAAAGGGGTCATAGGATGCCCATTTTCCACAAGTTGATATGATTCTTTAGGGTCTTAATGAAAAGTCTGTA